GGCTGCCCGTGACGTGATAACTTGTGGGCTCTCCTTCCAGGAAGACACGGAGAGGACACAGATCAATGTCCTGGCTGTGCAGGCCATCACCTCCCTGGTGCTGAGTGCGATGACTGTGCCCGTGGCTGGCAACCCAGCCGTGAGCTGCTTGGAGCAGCAGCCCCGGAACAAGCCCCTGAAGGCTCTCGACACCAGGTTTGCCCAAGTTGCCCAGTGTCTCCAGGGCACGGCTGTGGTGGGAACAGTGAGGTGCCCCTCCTCGCCACCCAAGGGGACCAGCAGCTTCACCTGGGCCCTTTCCTTTGCTGCCAAAATTAAAAACAAAAATTGTGCATGTTGCCTTGCGAGAGGTACACGTCCAAAAGTGACGTGGTGAGCAGTGGCAATGAAAATGAGACGTGAAGTGACACAGACTCATCTGAGTTTAATGGCAGACTCTTAGCAGAGCGAGAATTAGCAAGCCAGTAGCACGCCTGCGTGAGGGTGTGTGGACAGGAATCACCTACAAAGGGCTGTTGGGTATTGTAGGTGCCTGTGTTTCCTTTAGGCAAAGCTGGGGGTGGTCCTGGTGTTTTTCGCTTTTAAGATTTTGAAGGAACCAAATATTCTTTAACCTTTTGTTCTGAATTTTAGGTTTGGGAGGAAGTTGAGCATTATCAGAGGAGTTGTAGAGCAGGAAATTCAAGCTATGGTTTCAAAGAGAGAGAATATTGCCACCCATCATTTATACCAAGCATGGGACCCTGTCCCTTCCCTGTCTCCGGCTACTACAGGTACCTGTGGGGCGAGGGGCCACTTGTACTTGGGCCCAAACAAGAACTCACAACACCAGTTGGGCAGAAAGACCCGAATTGTGGTTTAATTTGGAAGCTGTGGTACTAAATGTGCTGCCCTAACTCATAAGTACAAATCTCACTGAGGAGTGGGGACATTTTAACAGTCTTGAGGAAACAGAGTCTGGCAATGACCTGGAACACTGTCTCTCGCCAGTCAAGTTGTGGGAAGGGAAAGAGTTCTCAGAGGCTGATAGACTGGCAGCCTGCACAGGATTGTAAAAGCTGAGTTAGTCACTGATGTTAGAAATCAACAGAGTTCATCTAAACCAGGTGAATCTCTGGCTTCTTGTGAGAAATCCAATGTGGCAAGACCACGCCAGCATTCTCTGACAGCCCCTGGAGGCTGGGTGTGCCAAGCCCACCCTCTCCCCTGGCCTTGAACCCTGGGCGGTCAGGTGCACCTGTTCCATCTGGGCCTGCAGGTTGTGTGCCTGCCCTATGATGAACACTGGAGTTTGTCATCCTGGGTTAAAAGAAGGGAATTTTGTGGTTTGTTTGGGTTTTTTTAAATACACATTTTTTTTGTTGAACAAACAATATTTTAGCCTAGAGTGTTTGTGATTCTCTAGGATTTTTTAGGAGTTGTTAGATCCTGTAAGTTTAATCATCTTGAAAGCTTTACCTGGAAAAGATTCCATATGGAAGTGCAGTGTGTTATACACCCCCGAACATTTACTAGGGCATTAAAGTAAACTGAGGACTGTGAACTTGAATGGCCATGGATCCTTGGAAGAGCTTATGGCCAATAGGAGAGAGGAGAAGGACGTGGCATCTCTAACTAGCGTGGAAGGCAGAAGAGAGTAGGTGCCGGGACAGGTGGAGGCAGACGGCTCCAGAAGCTCCGAGGAGAGCAGATGCTTCTGGGGGGCCAGTTGGGGAAGCCTCATGGAAGAGGGCATGTTGATGCTAGATCTGGCAAAGGATTAACTAGGGGCCTTTCAGCTGGGGAGCTGGAGGTGGGGGGGATGCCCAGTGGAAGGAAGGGAGGGGGGTCATTGGTCTGGAGCATGGAGAGTATGAAAGGTGGTGAGGGGTTTCTGAGGAAGATGGCTTGAGTGGGGGCGTCCCCGTACACCCTGCTCTTGGTGGGCTCAGCAGCACGGCTCAGGTACCAAGGCAGTGTCTCAGGAGTTACTGTTTTATTATGGAGAAAAAGTGATAGTCCAGCTTTGCCCCACAGGCCCTGCCAGCTTAAGAGGTTATAAAGTGACAGAGAAAACCCCAGAGACCCTCAGGGCTCTGCAGTGCTGTGCTGTCCCGCCAGTGGCATGGGTGGAGTGGCTCGGGGTAGGCGGCTGCTGTGCAGGCTCTGCACAGGGTGGCGCTCATGGTGATGTTGCTTCACAGGTGCCCTCATCAGCCACGACAAGCTTCTGCTGCAGATCAACCCCGAGCGGGAGCTGGGGAACATGAGCTATAAGCTCGGTCAGGTCAGTCACGCCTGCTCCTCACGTTCAGGGCAACTTCCTTCGGTTTTCCTTGGTCTCTGTTGTCTGTCTTCAGATTTTGGCCAGTCAACGTCTGAAAGAAAAGTTAAAAGCTTTTTTTAAATAAAAGAAAGGTCTGCTTTTAGTTGCTTTTAGTTATGTTCTTTATTCCAAGAAGGATGTAAGATGTTTTATGTATGTAATGATATCAATGTGTATGAATATAGCCAGATAATATGAGTTAGACTCAGATGAGAAAGATGAGACAGAGAAGGACAAGTGTCCAGCACATCAAACGGAGTTAGAGGAGAGTGGCTTGGGTGAGTGAATGCAGAGAATGGCTCTTGCTCTGATGGGCCACAGATTTGGCCACAAGTGTCCCAGCTTCCAGCTCAGAAGGAAGCCCGGTCACACAGCCCAGTGTGGCGGATGGACCGGCTCTGGGTGCCAGGTCGACCGCTTACTGGGTAGGTCACATTGAACTGTGCTTCTTCATCAGAAAAATGTGGACAGTCATGCATATGATAGTACAGGTTGAGGGCTCTGAGGGTGGGGTTTGAGGATGGTGGCGCAGGCCGTGGAGCCGTGAGGCGGGGTGTGAGGATGGTGGCGCAGGAGTGGTGGGGGAGGGGGAATGACACATGAGTGCTGGGAGGAGGGGACTCAGTGTTGGCAACCTTGAAGACTGCTCTCTTCACTGCTGAGTTTTTCCTCTGAACATGTCGCTGGTTTACTTAGAAAGCAATTATGAAAAACAATTTTCTTTTTAGCTTTTGTTTCATAAGAAATTGGTCAGAAGAGCATTTGGGGTAATTGTTAGTTCTGAGGCTTCCTCATAAGCTCCAGGCGGCAGCCTTTGCAGCAGAGCCCCCAGGACCACAATGGTGTCCCCCGCTCTGTCCCGCTCTCTCTCGCACAGCATTCTTCTGTGAGTTAGAAGCCACAGACAGGCTCTCTCATTCTTTGTCCTTTGCAGAGGAGTTTCCACCCCTGAGATAAGTCAAAATGGTCATTAGAATTCGATGTCATTTCTGTGGAAGTGTTTCTGAGGGCAGGCTGTGAGTGAGAAGCCTGGGGCTTGCTGGGCGGCACTTGGCTTTGTTCTGGGGTCACTGGCATTTGCCCAACTGCATCCTTCCTTCAGTGTCGGCGTCCACACCTCACCACTGAGAACCGAATGTAGCGAGGTTACAGTGGGGCTAAGATGTGACTGCACCCCTGCCCCATCTGGGATGTCTGCCGGCTCCCAAATCCCTCTGTGCTGAGCCACCACTGGTGGTGGGGAGAGGGGGTCGGGGTGGGGAGTGAGGGGAGCAGAGGGACTACTCTTTTCCAGTCTGAAGATTGCTTTTAGGGATTCACAGTTTATCTTCTGTCTGTGGCAGGCCTTCTGGCAGCTGCCTCCAGCCTGCCTGCCTGCTGCCAGTTCCACTGAGGGTGGTGGGATGTGAGAGAGAAATGGCTGTTTGTGCAGAGCAGGAGTTGGGACTAGCATCACCGACGATGGAAAACAGCTTTATGTGGGAATGCAGCCCACGGCCACTTGTTTCCTCACTTGGCAGTGCGAGGCTCCGTGCTGAGTGCTCGAGGAATTCCACGGGAACAGGCACGTGGGAAGCCGAGTGGTCGTTGCGAGGGAGCGTGGTCGTTTGGGCTGGGCGTGGGCAGGAGAGTGGCAGAGGGATTAACTCCTGTTCCCAGCACCGCTCCGCCCCCCCTGGTGGATTCTCCCTGCAGGCTTCCCAAATTCCACCTACCCTGCCATCTCCAGAATAAGCACATCATCCCTTTTGCATTTGTAGGGGGCTTTTTTTAAGTAATTCAGAAAAATGGGGTTTACCACAAATGACTACCAGAGAGGGAGGACCAGTTTTGAAAAGAAATCCCATGTTCTGGTTCCATTTTTTGCCAGGACTTCATTCACATGTCCCTTAGGAGCTAAGGTGTCCTTTCTTAGAGACTTTTTCCTTCATCCCTCCTCAGCCTGGGGTTGACCACCCCTCATACCAGTTCGTTAATCCTGAAGGCAGAGCTTTCCGGCCATGCTCTAGCCCCCGCCCCCAACTCTGTGGGTCCTCTCTCCCTCTGCCCATAAGCTGGTGGGTCTGAATGAGCCCTGCTAAGTGACAGGAGTCTGCTCACTTCAGAGGACCTGGGCCACAGCTGCAGCTCTGTACCCTTACCTCCAGGAGCCTGTTGCCTGGCCCGAGCATTGAACCAAGTGCCTTGTGTTTGTTGAAGGTGTCCATCCACTCTGTGTGGCTGGGGAACAACATCACACCCCTGAGAGAGGAGGAGTGGGACGAGGAGGAGGAGGAGGAGGCTGATGTCCCTGCACCTTCGTCGGCACCCACATCTCCAGTCAACTCCAGGTCTCCCGTCTGCCTTTGTTTTAAAGCAATTTACGATTTTTTACTAGTCATTTGATTTCTTTGGGGTGCCTCTTGAAATGAACTTCTCATCTTGTGCACGGGAAAAATTATCCATCTTGCATACTCTGCAGGAAACACCGGGCTGGGGTTGATATCCACTCCTGTTCGCAGTTTTTGCTTGAATTGTACAGTCGCTGGATCCTGCCGTCCAGTTCAGCCAGAAGGACCCCCATTATCCTGATCAGTGAAGTGGTTCGATCTGTAAGTTTGCCCTCCCCTTTCCCCTTGTGTGTGCACAGTACTCATACAGGTACACATACACGTGCACACACACATGCACATGCTCCCCCACCCCCCATAGGAACCTATGAAGGACCTCGTAGAGATTCACAGATCCAGGATGATAAAGCAGTATTTCTCGAACCAGTGAAGAAACCGTTTTTCACATTTCCAATCCATGGGGGAATGATCTCTTAAGAACAGTAAAAGTGTCATGGAAATGTCATGTTGCTATCAGAGTTCTAAAGGCTCCCCTTCCTTTTCCATACGTATCTCCTCCAGGGCCTGCGACAGACGGTCCCAGGATCATGGACCCCGCTTTGAGAAGCACCGATTTAGAGCTCCTTCTCAAAGTATTGGTCTCAGGATTTGTTTACGTTCTTCAAATTAATGGGGACCCCAAAGAGTGTTTGTTATGTGGGTTGTATCTATTGGTATTTACACTATTGGAAATTAAATCTGAGTAGTTTTAAAAATAGTTACTTATTAAATGCTAGCTTATCATTTCTGCCTCATCTTAGTTAGTTATCCAGCAAGAAGAAATGAGGATGAAATTCCAGCAAGAAGAAATGAACAGGGGCCAGCCTGGTGGCGTAGTGGTTAAGTTCCACTTTGGCGGCCCGAGGTTTGCAGGTTTGGATCCCAGGCGCAGGCCTACATACCACTCATCAAGCCATGCTGTGGCGGTGTCCCACATACAAAATAGAGGAGACTGGCACAGATGTTAGCTCAGGGACAGTCTTCCTCAAACAAAAAAAAGAAGATTGGCAACAGATGTTAGCTCATGGCCAATCTTCCTCACCAAAAAAAAAAAAGAAGAAGAAAAAATGAACAAAAAGTTGGAGCTGAAGACCTTAAGTGCTTGCTTTCTGCTCTTTGACCAGATAAATAGAAGCTTCTGCATTATCTATGCAGCATGGGACTTTTATTATTTTTACCTAAAGACGTCTCTTTTTGATAATGACAAACGTATTTTTTTTCCTAAAAAGCCTGGTTTTTCTCAATACCCTTAAAAGTTTTTAAATTGTTTCATATCTGGTCAAGTTGAAATTTTTAAGAACTTCATTTTTAATTTGTAATAAAGTTTACAACTTGATCTTTTTCAAAAAAGTCAACAAATTATAAGCACCATTAATAAAGGTCTTAAATTTAAAAAAGAAGTTACTTATTAATCTATTTAAAATAACAGTAATGATAATTTTTGTTTTAAAATAGCAAATTTTTTTTAATTAGTGAGAAGAGCCTTATTTCACATTTTGGCAAATCTCTTTAATGTCTGGCTTATTGGAAGACAGACACATTCTCATATCTGCTCTGCATTCAGTCTGTTAATATCAGGTAACTTCTAGAAAACACCACCACACAGTTGGAGGAGAACAGGAGTGAAAGGGCAAATAAGGTCTTAGTGTTCTTGTGGAAATAGTTTTGACCTCGTGAAGCCCTGAAAGGCTCCCAGGTACCCCACATGTCCGCCTTAAGAGCTGCTGATGTAGACAATTTGCCGACTCCTCCTGGCTGAGTCGGTCACACTCACCTGTGGCCTCTGAGGAAGGCCAACCACAACCTTCCCACATGCTGCTAACGAACAGGGGCCTTCACGCCTAGTTGACATTCATTTTTAGGTGTAATGTGAAGAACTGAACAGTAGGGAACTAAACATCTTTGGGAGACAAAAAGAATTATTGCCAAAGCGTTTATTTGTGAAACGATTGCCCGTTCCTCTATCCAGGGCTTTTGAGAGCCTGTCCCCTTGCGCTGTGGGGAGGGCCTGGTATTTGAAAAAGCCCACGTAGAGCTTTTCAGTGGCGCCTGCCACGGAGGCTTGTTCCCACACAGGTCGGGACTGAGATCAGGTGCCACCTCTTGCAGTGTGGCTTTGCAGAGGCATTTTTAAGAAGACGTCCAGTGACCAGTTTGTCTTCATGTTACATGTTTACACTGTATTTTAGGTTTCCAGGTGTTTCTTGATTTCTTTTCCCAGTCAGGGCTCCTGTTGATTCCTACACTTTATTGTCTCTCGGATGTTAGAACGTGTGTTTTGGACTAGGTTGCTTGCTTTCCTGATGGTGTAACTCCTCGCCTCCTGTCCAAATGTTCTGTGTCTCTAGCTTCTAGTGGTCTCAGACTTGTTCACTGAACGCAACCAGTTTGAGATGATGTATCTGACGCTGACAGAGCTGCGGAGGGTGCACCCTTCAGAAGACGAGATTCTCGTTCAGTACCTGGTGCCTGCCACCTGTAAGGCGGCCGCCGTCCTCGGAATGGTAAGTGAGAGGTGGTGCGGAGGCAGCCTTGTGTTGGCCACGTGTTGTGGGTGAAGCCTCAGCCTTGGAAGGTCCATCCTGAACTTCCACAGCCAACATAAGTTGGGAGGATTCGGTTAATGTCGGTGCTTTTCCACAGGTCACCATGGAGCGTGTTGTGGTGGGCAAGCCTCGGTTTGGGGCTCCTGTACCCCTTTTTCCTTCACGTTGTCATGGTGGCCCGTCCCCACAGGAGCTTGGGTTTGTGGGTGGTGGAAGCGTGACTGACTCCTCCTCCACAGCAGCCCCCCACTCTCTTCTCTGATGTACTGCAGACCTCTGTGCTTCCTGGGGACAGTTTGTCACAGTAACCCTGCATTTCTGCCCCCAAAGTCTGGATACTGTAGTCTGTTCTTAGCTTGAGGGCAGACGGCTGCTGCTTCTGAGTGCTTCCTTCTTCTGCCTCAGTTGATCGGGACTGAGCAGTGCAGCGCCACACCCGTTCTCTATGCGAACACCACCACACAGCATTTCCTCAGCAGACATTACGTTGACACGTGAAAGTACTTATATGTGGGCCCGGCCATTTGTCGAGCACATTAAAGGATGTCAGCTCTGCTGTTAGAGAAAAATAACTCGACTCCACAGTGTGCAGAACTGGTACCTGTTTGCTCTTTGCCATGTAGTGTCAGCCAGTAGTCGTGGTGTTTTTTACTCAAGCGTCTCCTGAATCCATCTTTGTGATGACAATAGAGACTCATTCATGCAACAAACGCTGAGTGGCTGCCATGTGCTGGGCATTTGGGACCATTGGTGAGTGATGTGGTGGGGCCTGCCCTGGCCCACCTCTCCCACGTCCCATACTCAGTTTTGGCTGTCCTAACAGTGACAATAATACTGTGCGCCACTGCAGCAGCCACTAGCGTTTGCAGAGCCCTTCCTCCTGCACTTGTACACGGCCCTCTTCACAGTCTGACGAAGGCAAGGCCCATTCTTATCCGTTTTACAACCGAGGAGGCTGAGGCCAGGGGATTGGCCAACTTGCTCCAGGTCACACAGGACATGGCAGAGCTGGGGTGTGAGTCCTTGTCTGTGACCCAGAGTCCTGACTCACCCCTTTCCCAACTGTGCTCATCTATAGAATTTGTCCTTCCGAACCAAGGCTCCAGAGCAGGTATCATCCATCCTGGGTGGCCTGCAGCCCTGGTGCTACCATCTAGGGAGCAGAAACAGTGAGTCCGTTGGCTTTCCTTCTGTGAGCACATCTCTTCAAAGTGTACACCCTCTGGGTGTTGAGAGACATGCAAAGACAGCTAGACTTGGAGGGGTCCTTTTGTTTTTGTGGGAATTTTCGGCTACTGTGTTCATTTTCATTGTAATTGTGTTTTTGTGCTCAGGCCCAGATTCCCCTAGGCAAATGTTGTGTTGTCAGTAAATCAAATAAGTAATAATCATTTTTTAAGAAGATCCTAAGGCAAGATGACGCATGAACACAGACTCCCCAGTCCTGAGGAGTCTTTTGTGAAGGGCGCTTTTCCTGCAGGGCATCGTCTTTTGTGAAGGTCGTGGCATGCATGCAAATAGTAGTGCAGGCAGTAGCATTCCGAAGCTTGCCTTTTCCTTCGGAGATATTTACCCAATGTTGTGAAATCTGCCTCCCTCACAGCAGATCCTGTGGTGTGTTTTCAGAGGTGGGGAACTGGAGCATGGGTGGGAGCAGTCCTTAAGAAGGTGCCACACAGCTCTGTGGTATGGGGCAGGAGGAGGAGAAAGTCCTCAGCAGAGTGTCACCCCTCAGCCAGACTGCAGGGACAGAGTCCCTGTGGCGGGTCTCATGGCTAGACGGCAAGGAGCAGCACAAGCCGTCCACTGGCAGGGTCGCCCCTCCCTGGGTGGGATGGCCTATAAAATGCAGCAGTTGCTGCCGCCTCTGCCCTGCGAAGGTCTCTTCCCTGACAGAGTGAATCTTAGGTGAAGAACGTGGTGCTGAGTGTTAGATTTCTACTTAACTCCATCATGTTTAGGATGCTAAATGAAATTGATAACATTCTGGTCCAAGTTAGTATAGACTAGTGTTGGGGGTCCCCAAGACCACCCCCGAGTTTTTGCTAGGAGGACTCAAGGGGCTCACATATACTCATGGCTATGATTTATCACAGTGAAAAGATACAAAATGAAGTTAGCAAAGGGATAAAGCAAGTTAGGTGAAGTCCAGTGGAAACAGGTGCCAGCTTCCAGGATCTTCTCCTGTGGCATCACAGGGGTTGTGCTCAGTTCCCCCTGCAGCACGTTGTGACAACGCGTGTGGCGTGCTGTCCACCAGGGAAGCCCGTCAGAGGCTCAGAACCAGGGCTTTCTTTGGGGGCTGGTCCCGTGGGTCCCTGTGCCTGGCACGTACCCAGCTCTGGACCCCCAGGAGGAAAGGGGCGTCAGCACAGACCGCACTGTTTGTTAGGGTGCTGGGAACCCTCCCGACATGCAGGCTCCCGGACGCCAGCCAAGGGCCAGGCCCGTACAGGCCTCTCAGGGCCCGGCCGTCAGGCTGCGGTCAGAGCTCTTCCACATGCTGCGTCTGCCGTAATGTGAGGTCAGCCCCTTCTTGGCCTCTCCCTTTCCATCGTGGAGCTAGTCTCTGCTTCCATACCTGTGCTCTAGGACAAGGCCGTGGCAGAACCAGTCAGCCGGCTGCTGGAGAGCACGCTCAGGAGCAGCCATCTGCCCAGCAAGATTGGGGCCCTGCACGGCGTTCTCTACGTGCTGGAGTGTGACCTCCTGGACGACACCGCAAAGCAGCTCATCCCAGTCATCAGCGACTATCTCCTCTCCAACCTCAAAGGAGTAGCCCAGTGAGTGGAGCTGGCCGGGGCCTCCCACTTCTGTCTTCCTCCAGGGCTTTTGTCTGGCCAAGGGTGGGGGGGCTTGGAATGGGCTGTGAGAAGAGTGACGTTACATTTCAAAGTGTATGTCAGACCCTGGCCAGATTGTGGGCAGGGGTCAGCGGGAACCCAGGCAGGTACCCTTCTCATGGAGATGGTGACTAAGGTCACTGTGACACCAGGACACTACACGCTGTCTGGTTGGAGTGGCCTGCTCTGTGTGGCTAAGCTTGGCTGTCGTCTCATGTTTTCAGCTGCGTGAACATTCACAGCCAACAGCACGTGCTGGTGATGTGTGCCACTGCCTTCTACCTGATTGAGAACTATCCTCTGGATGTAGGGCCAGAATTCTCTGCATCAGTAATACAGGTGAGCGGCCGCTGGGTGTCTTCCTCTAGAAACGAGACTGGGCGTCCATGCCTTTTCACCCGTGAGATGGTATCATTGGGTCC